ATGGCGGCGTAGAGCGGATTACTCTGTGTTTACATTCCGTTTACCGTCTCTTTTCTGCTTTTACGCCGATTTTACCACAACAGCGCGCATCTCCTGCATCTAACCGCCTGAAGCAGGTGAGTGAGCGGCGCTTGCAGCGGCTTTATTGACGGGTTTCGCTGCCGGGTTCCGCCCTCCACAACAACAACAACAACAACAAACATAAACAACATCTAATGACAGACATTCGTGTTTAACAACTAATAAAATCGCGGTTTAATCAATGCACTGGTGTTAGTTCTTGCAGCAGGTCGAGTTTAATGACCGTCAAACCGAGTGTGCTGCTGCTAAACCACATTTCTGGCTATCTAGTGCATCTATCTAGACAGCATACTTGTTTTACTGCCTTTTTAGGCATCATCAACACGTTCAGAGGCAGCTGGACTAAGCTGACAGCTCACTTCATGCACAAAACTGCTGTCTAGGTAGGCAGCTCACTAGGTTTGAATGCACAGCAAGATGTGTTTTAGCCTGATTCTTACCATTTACACTGTTGCACAATAGACAATACAGAAAACACATAAGTGCAGGGAGCTGTTTCTATCTGACCTGCCTTTGCAAATAGATTTTTGTGAGATCAGATGCTCTTGCAATAATAAAGCACTTTGAGTAAATTTGCTCCTGCAGGATTGAGCTGTTGAAAAGCATGATAACATATCTGTCTTTATACAGTGGTTTGTTGAAAGCAAACAGATATTGTCAGTTAATATTAGCTTGTCAGGAACAGCATAACAAGGCTTTTTGTTTGCATGCTCTTTGATTAGTTTACTTTCTCATCAACATGAATAGCTGTGGATCAGTGTGTGTGTGTGTTAACCGTAACACTGCCCTTCAAAACCGGTTTTATTTTTAATCCACCCTCCTGTTTATTATTGGTTGACTATGAATTCTGATCAGGTTGTATAAAGGTCAAACTTTAGTCCTGCGAGACTAACACACATTAATCAGGGTTTCTGCAGGTTTTTAAAAAGGTCTTAATTTGCCCTTCCACAAATTAAGTCTTTAAAAAGGTCTTAAATCAGAGCAGAAAGTCTTACATTCATAACATCATGGCATTAAATGTTACAGGGGGGGAAAAAAAAAAAAATATCTTCCTCAGAATTTTTGTTTTGTTTTCCAATACAAATATCTAAACATCCTTAAATCAAGAAACATTCAAATTAAATGAGTTTATGCTTAAAGGAAGAACAAATATCTGTTAACATATCAAATAAAAACTAGTTTTCTCTTTGAATTACATAGATTTTTCTGAGCCCTTTAGCAGATATTTGTTCTTTTTAATCATAAACTCACTTCATTTTGATCCATTTCTCAGAAAACAAGGCTAATTATTTCATGTCATTTTGCTTCTCGTGTAAAAGTATCTTGATTTTAAGAATATTTAGACATTTGCACCGGAAAACAAGACAGCATTACTGATGAAGAACAGCACTTTTTGCAGTGTGATCAGAAGATACAGTAAAAGTTAAATATATAAAAGTTGCATTTTCAAACCTTACATTTAGAGACCATGTTTACGTATGGCATTCCATTCAATTTATTTATTCAGTTTTCTTAACTTGGTCTTAAAAAGTCTTAAATTTACCTTCATACAACATGAAGAAACTGTTAAAAATCTATTATATTTATTTATTTATTTTTATATGTAATTCATTATTATTAATAGTCTTTAATAACAATGGATGTTGTTTTGAAACCTCTCTGTTATTTTATTCTGCTTCCTCAGGGCTCTACGCTTACTTTTCTTTTTAGGAGCGCTTGTGCTCCTAATTTAAAAAATTTAGGAGCACCTTCTAATCAGTAATCAAAAATTCTGATTAAAAAATTTACCTTCCCATTACGAGGTGATATTTGACTTCTTAAAGTGATTTACAGGGAATTTTGTTTTTACCTTTGTAATGGCAT